AGCAAGCCTAAATCCATGGTAAAGCAAGTTCATTGACACAGGCTTTCCCATTATTCCCATCCCCAAAACTCAATTTCCTCCATTTCTATTAGATGCAAAACAAAGCCTACAAATGCAAACTCCCCTCTCGTCTCGCTATAAACACACATAATTAATTTAGCGTGTGAGAAGATGAAGAGTAAATTTAATCAATCTATCACTCAACTTTGAAATGGTTACTCACTCTTCTTTAACGGGTTACCTAATGGTCACTTATCTTTTCATTTAGTTACCCATTCACCACTCATTTAACTTCCATCTCTTCAAATAAACGAAAAACTACACGTGGATAACAGAAACAGACGTGGCAACCATTTCTCTGTTAAATTGATAACCTGGAACAAAACACACGACATCTCTTCTTTTAAACTCACGACTTCTCCCCATATTCACGACAACTGGAACACTGGAAGAGAAAATTACCGAAAATCCTATCAATTTCTTCAAAATTCTCCCTTAAATCAGCATATCAGGCTTGGGAATTCTTCTCTCCCTCAAATGGCAGTTTCCATTTGTTTGATGGATAGGCGTGCTTTCTTGCTTTGCAGGATATCTCAAATTCCTACAGTAGGTTTTCAACTTCCATTTGTGGGGGAACTAATTTAGAACCCATTTCATTCAGTGAAAAGTTCGTAAGATAACGTCAAGGAGGATGTAGAAATGCAAAATGCTGCATTTTGTTGTATTCTGAGGTCCATAACTTTAATATGATTTGCATTCAAGATTTTACACTTTCAAAATTATTAGAAATGGTCATTCGCTGCTTGAGCTTCTCTATTTTCTGGAACGGAAAAGACAGCAAAATCTGTGGCCAAACTTCAATCTTGGTATTTTTCCCTTAGCTGTAAATTCATGGTCGATTATCTCTATTGGTCAAATTTAGCCCCTGTGCGGGAGGTGTTTGAATTATTACTTTTGGTCAAATCTACTTTTCCTCCACATTTCATAAGAGAAAATTACTTTTGTTCATATTTGAAATATGTTTTTAACTATGTTTCCTAAATTCAAGATTGGTTTTGGCATTTTGTTAATCTATGATTACAACTGATTTCATATTTATGAGTCTTAACCATTTGTTCTGAAGTAGGCCAAGTTGGCACCTCGAAGAGCAAATGGGAATCCAACAAACGAAGTGCAACAAAATCCTCCAATAGATGGATACATTTTCATGCCCACACCTGGACTTGGGGTCACAACTCACAAGTTATGCACAATCTAACAATAATGGTCCTTCCCCTACTGCAGCTAGGCAAACTGAATGAGGGCTGAAAGGGTAAAAGAATGTTTTTGATATGGAAGTTTTTGACAGCGAATTGTCTTTGACATGGTTTTAAATATCTGTAGTTTAGTGTCGTCATGGAAGTTTTTGACAGTGAATTATCTTTGGCCGTAGTTTAGTGCATTAAAGTGGTCAAAGAATGTTTTTGAAATGTAATTTAACCATCATCGATGAATATTTTTTGTATGAATGGTTATATTCCAACAGTCTACTGGTTCATATTCTTGATTTTGAGAATGAATGAGTTGTAGTTTAGCCAAGAAGACAGAACAATGTTTACTGGTTTATATTCCAGCAATGTGCACCTGATACTTGGTGCTGATTTTGTAATTTACTAAGCTGATTTCAAGCAATGTGCACCTGATTCAAGCAATATATACATATATTTAATTGTAAATCAAACTGAAGCTTCTCAATCTGGTGCATTACATGAAACTTCTCAATCTGGTGCATCACATTTATGCACCTCAATCAATCCCAATTTTCAATAGCCTTAGAACTAACTTCTAATTTACACAAAATATTGCCATCCATCAACTCAGCCACAAAAAGGAAACAAACCAAATTATAATAGGATTCATTCATTCAATAATACAAAGTTCAAAGAACCAAGTTACAACAACCATCAACTCAGCCACAAAAAGGAAACAAACCAAGTTATAATAGGATTCATTCATTCAATAATACAAAGTTCAAAGAACCAAATTACAACAACCAACTACATATACGCATTTTCAACCCCTACTCCATTGATCAAGATAAAAATACATATAAGCATTTTCAAGTTACAATAACCATCAACTCAGCCACAAAAAGGAAAAAAACCAAGTTATAATAGGATTCATTCATTCAATAATACAAAGTTCAAAGAACCAAATTACAACAACCAACTACATATACGCATTTTCAACCCCTACTCCATTGATCAAGATAAAAATACATATAAGCATTTTCATATCTCCTACTGTACAATTGAAAGCTCCTTATAACCGTGGGAGCTCTCTTCCATCTGCTTCTACTCACCTTCGATTGCCTGTACAATTGAATCAAAGCTACAGTTACTGATTCCTTGCACTTTCCACAAGTCCACGAAGTTCTACTTGTCTCAAGCATATAACGGTAAAAATCTGATTATGATTTCCACCTGGAGTTCCTAACCCGACCCCTAATTTTCCCCATCCTCGACCAGCAAGTGGTAACGTTAACCAGTGGAATAATAACAACCAAAATAATTGGTACCCACAAAACCAAAACCCTAATTTGAGCCAAAATTATCCTCGACAAGGTGGGTTTTAGAGTCAGGGTTCTCCCCAAAACTTTCGTCAGAGGCAGAATTATCCGCAGCCTGGAGGTGGAAATCATAATCAAGGATATTATCCGGACCAGTGAAGGGAAGAGATGGCGGCGATTCTCAGGCCGGTGGCGTCCATTTTGTACCAGCCCGCATCACTATCCTGGAGAAAATTGTGGCCGGAATTAAAGGGTTTGAATTGGGGGTTATGATATTGAGAATAGGGGAGAAGTCGTGTGTGTGTTTTATCCCAGGTTATCAATTTAACAGAGTTGCCACGTCTGCTTCTGTTATCCACGTGTAGTTTTCCGTTTATTTGAAGAAATGGAAGTTAAATGAGTGGTGGATGGATAACTAAATAGAAAGATGAAGGACCATTGGGTAACCCGCTAAAACAGAGTAAGTAAGTAGTAACAATTTCAAAGTTGAGTGATGATTGATTAAATTTACTTAGAAGATGAATGGCAAATAAAGGTTGTAAACTGTAAAGGCTGAACAACAATTAATTAAGCGTGCGAAAGAAGATAGCAAAAGATCACGTCATTTTTTTAGGAAGGAAAAAAAAAAAAAACAAACAAAAAAGAGGTGGCACGCACTCCTAGGAACAGTGCCAAAACCTACTCACTCTTTTATTTTAGTAGTGATATTTGATCAGATTCGTGAAATTTGTAAACTTTAAAAAAAGGTTAAACTCTAACCTTAAGGGTCCCCACCACATGAAATTTGTAAACTTGTAATGTGAATAGATTGTTGCAAGTGCTTATATTTGTATCCCCATTTGTGGATGCTCAACGAGGACATAAACTTTTGTGATGGAACTATGTGTCTCAGGGCAAAACATCTATAGAGTTCTTACATTTTTGTACTACTTTCCGACTCTATTGGTTCATAACTAAGATTTAGGCCTCGTATGATCCAACGTAAAGGGAGTCATTGGATTTATGGGCTGTGCTTATGGCCATTACCTAGCGTTAAGCTAAGCTAAAGAAAAAAATTTCCTTATTTTTTTAGGAAAATATGATCAGGTGATCAACTTTTGAAAAATGTTTTCATCAAAAAAATGTTAATCAAACACTCCAAAAGTAGGAACTTGGATGAAGAAAAAGATATTATTCATGAAAAATAAAGTCAATCAAATACACTATAAGTCCATGTTTGATTCTCATTCTTTTTAAACTATTTCTCCTATATAATCATTTTCAATCACACATTTACATAATAAAATATTCTGCACGTAAATCCGAAACGTTTTTCCTATTTTTTGTTGAGAAAAATGTAGGAAAATCTGAAAACTTAATGAACTACAAGGCACGAAAAACGTTATCTTTTAAAAGATGTTTCTCCCCTATCCAACGAAGTCACGGCTGGAGTATGATAGAAAATCTCTCTTAGAATACAATGGAGGCGTTTGATTCAAATTGTAACTATTTAATCAAATCAAGAAGACACTAAAAAAAAACTGATGATGCTAAGAGAAGGAGAGAAGAATATTTTTTAATGTGTTTTGCAAACGAGAATTCGCCCAGAATTTATAAAAATTGAGGTAACCGTTTGAATAGATGTGTCCCTTGAAATGAAGAACACACCTGTTGGAAGTAACTATCAAAAGAACAGATGCACCTATTCGAAAACTTTTGAAAATAAAATTCTCTTTCGGGGGCATTGTCCCCGAGCCCCCACAGGGGCACTGCCCCCTCAACCCCCGCGTCCTTACCAGGCATGTCGATCCTCGTTGCACAGGGACAAACACTAGTCCGGACGGCAAATCATTCGTAAACAAAAAAAATAAAATAAATACATGCAAAATGATGAAAAATATCTAACATATGCTCCCGAAAAGAATTTTATTTTCAAAAGTTTTCGAATAGGTGCATCTGTTCGTTTGACAGTTACTTCCAACAGATGTGCTCTTCATTTCAAGGGACACACATATTCAAACCGTTGCCTCAATTTCTATAAATTCTGGGCGAATTCTCGTTTACAAAACACATTAAAAATATTATTCTCTCTTTCTCTTGGCATCATCAGTTTTTTTTAGTGTCTTCTTGGTTTGATCAAATAGTCACAATTTGAATCAAACGCCTCCATTGTATCCTGAGAGATTTCCCAGTCGTGACTTCGTTGGATAGGGGAGAAACATCTCTTAAAAGATAACGTTTTTCGTGCCTTGGAGATCATTAAGTTTTCAGATTTTTCTACATTTTTCTCAACAATTTTAAGAGATGTCTTTGTTTCAAGATCTGACAGTAAAATGAATATGTGGCACCTTCAATTCAAGTCATGAATCAAGATTTGATTCGTCTTGATCGGTTTGATGGACATAACTTCACGCGTTGGCAGGAGAAGGTTTATTCTTCTTGACAGCAATCAAACTGTCCTACATTCTGAGTGATGATCTTGCGCCTATTCCAGAAGAAAAAAGCAGATGATTCAGATGAACGCAAGAATGAATTACAGGAACAGCGGAAAAAATGGAAGGATGATGATTTTCTGTGCAGAGGCTATATTCTGAATGCACTATTAGATTCTGTTTACAGCACACGCAGGACTATCGGAACAGCAAAAAAATTGTGGCTGGCATTGGACAACAAGTATCGTATTGAAGAGGCAAGCAACCAGAAATTCTTGATCGGTAATTACTTTGATTTCAAGATGACGGACAGTAAGTCTGTTCTTGCCCAGGTACATGAATTACAACTTATTGTTAGTAATCTTAAGAATGCTGAAATTGTCTTGCCTGAAGCATTTCAAGTTAGAGCCATTATTGCAAAATTACCAAGTTCATGGAATGGCTATAAAAAGAAACTCAAACATGATGAAACCAAGCATACCCTGGAATCCCTCATGCGTCATTTGCGTATTGAGAAAGACTCTCGTAAACGAGAAAATAATGATCAAGCGGCAGAAAAGGCAAACATGGTTCAAGGAAATCATATGGGTAACAAGAAGCGTAAAAACTCCAGTTCTAAGGTAGATTATGCAGAAATCTCTAAGAAAAAATTCCAGGGGGATTGTTTCTACTGCAAGAAATCTGGTCATATTGCTCGTGAATGCTGACATGGAATAAAAGATGAGAAGGCAAAGAACGAAAAGACAAAGAAGGATCAAGTAAATGTGACTGATGGAAATCATAATCCAAACCTTGTTGCTGTGGTGGAAGAAGCCAACTCAGTCGGAGTTGAAGTAGGATGGGGGCTGGATATCGGAGCTACAATTCATGTAAGTCAACGACAGATCTCAGTTCAAGACTTACAAAGAATGCACCGATGGAAGAGAAGTAAAAATGGGTAACAATGTTTGTACCAAAGTTGTTGGAATTGGATCGGTTGAACTGAAATTCACTTCGGGAAAGAATATGACTTTGGCAGAAGTTCTCCATGTGCCTGAAATGATCAAGAACCTGATTTCTGGGGATTGCCTTAACAAGGCAGGTTTTAAGCTTGTAATTGAGTCTGATAGCCTTATAGTATCTAAAAATAATGTTTTTGTCGGAAAAGGTTACTCATGTAATGGTATGTTCAAAATGAATCTAATAAATGATAACTTTGCTTATACTGTTGATTCTTTACCTTTATGACATGCTAGATTAGGCCACATAAATTATAAATTCATTAAAAACATGCATAATTTAGGAATTATTCCTAAATGTAAGTTTGATGATGTTAACAAATGTGATATATGTGTTCAAGGTAAAATAACGTGTAAAACACATAAATCTGTTATGCGAACATCTGAATTACTTGGTCTTATACATTCTGATGTGGCTGATCAGCATAGTAAAGTTTCACGTGGAGGGAACAAGTACTTTGTGACCTTTATAGATGATTTTTCGAAATATGCTTACGTATACTTACTAAAAAGTAAAGATGAAGTTTTAAGTAAATTTCTTATTTATAAAGAAGTAGTGGAAAATCAATTAAACCGAAAAATTAAATTCCTACGTTCTGATAGAGGAGGTGAATACTAAGTAGCAGAATTAACAAAATTCTGTGAAACTAATGGTATAGTTCACGAGTTTACTCCACCATATTCGCCAAAATCAAACGGAGTAGCAGAAAGGAAAAACAGTACTTTAGTTGAAATGGTGAATTGCATACTTATTAGTTCTGGTTTACCTGATCAATGGTGGGGTGAAGCAATCTTAAGTGCATGTTATACTCTAAAAAGGATTCCTATGAAGAAGATTAACAAAACTCCATATGAGTTGTGGTTCAACGGAAACCTAATATTAGTCGTCTCAAGGTGTGGGGATGTCTCGCGTATATGAGAAAACCAAATCCAGAGATTACTAAATTAGGAAGTAAAACTTATAAATGTGTATTCATAGGTTATGCAAAAAACAGTACTGCTTATAGGTTTCTGAAGTTAGAATCCAATGATGTTATCGAATCAATTGATGCTGAATTTTTTGAAAGTATATACAAGTCTTCAACTGTGTAAACTGAAGATAATACTACTTCTGGTTCTTCTAAGAGAGTTCATGAAGAATCTCTTAATGATACTTCTGTTGAACCACAATCGGAAATAGAACCTAGAAGGAGTAAGAGACAAAGGAAAGAAAAATCTTTCGAATCTGAATTTGTGACTTATTTGCAAGAAGGTGATGTAAATAATATTACACATCAGACTAAGCTAATGCTTAATGATGATAGTGATCCTGTCACATATTCAGAAGCTATTTCATCTCAAGATGCTGTACTTTGGAAAGAAGCAATCAATGATGAAATGAGATCCATTATGTCAAATCAAACATGAAAACTGGTTGATTTACCTCGTGGTTCTAAACCAATAGGTTGTAAATGGATTTTCAAGAGGAAATTAAATGCAGATGACTCTATAAATAAGTATAAAGCTCGATTAGTAGCTAAAGGTTTTAAACAACGTCATGGCATATATTATTTTGATACTTATGCTCCCGTAGCAAGGATATCTTCCATCCGCGTGTTGCTATCTCTTACTTCAACTCACAATTTAGTTGTCCATCAAATGGATGTAAAAACGGCTTTTCTAAATGGTGATTTGGAGGAAGAAGTGTATATGGAGCAACCCGAGGGTTCTGTTTTACCTGGACAAGAAAAGAAGGTTTGTAAACTAGTCAAGTCTCTTTATGGTTTAAAACAAGCCCCTATGCAATGGCATGAAAAGTTTAATAAAGTAATGTTGTCTAACGGTTTTAAGGTTAATGAAGCAGATAAATGTATCTATTCTACATGTAGAAATGGTGCATGTACTCTTATTTGCTTGTATGTAGATGACATGCTTATTTTTTGTCCTAACTTAGAAAGTGTTAAGGAGACCAAACAATTGCTAGAGTCTAACTTCGATATGAAGGATTTAGGCGAAGCAAATGTGATCTTAGGAGTTAAAATAATAAGAAAAGATGGATGCATATCGCTGAATCAATCTCATTATATTGAAAATTTCCTTAAAAGATATGGTCATATGGGTCATAAACCCGCATCAACTCCAATAGATCCTAGTATTAAGTTAATGAAAAATACTGGTAGATCTTATGACCAACTACAATATGCAAGTGTGATTGGAAGTCTTATGTATGCTATGCATTGCACAAGACCAGATATTGCATATGCAGTTGACATATTGTGTCGATTCACTAGTAATCTAGGAAAAGAACATTGGAATGCGGTTTCAAGAATCCTAAGATATGAAAGGAACTATTGATTATGGATTACATTATCGTGGATTTCCTACTGTACTTGAAGGATACAGCGATGCAAGTTGAAACAATATAGAATCGAATTCTAAATCCGCAACAGGTTGGATTTTTACTTTAGGAGGTGCAACTGTTTCTTGGTGTTCTAAGAAACAAACATGCGTCTCAGATTCGACTATGTTGGCAGAATTTATTGCTTTTGCTGATGCAAGTAAAGAAGCTGAACGGCTAAGAAATTTGCTAATAGATATCCCGTTGTGGGAGAAACCATCTTCAGCTGTGATGATCTATTGTGATAGTAAAGCTACTTTGTATTCGGTAGCAAACAAGACTTACAATGGTAAGCAACGATATCTCAGTCTTAGACATCAGTCTCTTCGAGGATTACTTAAGCAAGGAGTAATCACCGTTGAATATGTAGAGTCGAAGAATAACCTAGCAGATCCTTTGACAAAAGGATTGGCTAGAGAGATGATTGCGAAAACATCGAAAGGAATGGGATTGAGGTCTACATAACTTCAGTTAGCTTTAATGGAAACCCTACTTATGTTTTGAAATATAAACAAAGTTCAAAGGGTACAAACAAGTTAAAGTCTAACTTAGACGAGACACTAGAGTATTAGTTCAAATCCATTCATAAAATCTCTAGTGTATGTATTCTGCATGGTTGAGGATGGATTTAATTTCTTAATAAGTTCTATTAAGAGAGAAAGTAACTCGCAGAATTACTTTATAAAGAACTTACCTATGTGAGTGAGAAAGTCAAACCGTTTTCTATGAGATTTAGACCGTCTCTAAAGCACTCATAAAATTCGGGATATACGCAAGGCCATTAATGCGTTGGTATAAAAGAGACTCCTTTCTATTGGAATAGTATGTGTAATGACTCCGGCTAGTCATGATAGGGTCCTTGGTTCAAGATTCATTCACCATAGCACCTTGACAAAACTTTGAGTTGTTTACACTAAGTGAAAGTTCAAAGTCAAAAGCTACTTTCATTTATGTACGATTTCCTGCGATGATGCCTTTTGTGTGTGTTTGCATGAACTACGGTGGCTTGATTCCGTTAAGGTTACGTAAGCAATCAATTTTTGTGATGCAGTCGTTTCATCTTTTCTAAATCAAAATTTTGAAAAATAAGGGGGATATGTTAGATATTTTTCATCATTTTGCATGTATTTATTTTATTTTTTTGTTTTGCGAATGATTTGTCGCTCTGACTAGTGTTTGTCGCTGTGCAACGGGGATCGACCTGTCCGGTCAGGACGCGGGGGTCAAGGGGGCAGCACCCCCGTGGGGGCGTTGACCGTACATTCTCCTAAAACACTATTCAAAACTCTTTCTTTTTAAAAAGAATGGGCACCAAACAGGGGCTAAGTGTTTCTTTACATTCCAATTATTTATGTTTTTATTTAATTTTCTTCATGAAAAATGAAAAAGAAATAGAGAGATGTAAATTATTAAAGTTTCATTTCTTGCCAATCTGCTGTTGAAGACTTTCTAGTTGCATTTTACAGTGATCTATGACTAGTGAAATTATTCCTAGTTTAATGAGCCTCGAATTACAATCTCTAGGCATTAAATGTATTAATTTGACCATTCTTAGAGCATTTAGAAATTGGAAGCGAATCCAGAATGACAAACTCTTTAACCGTAGTGTGTATATTTTTGCCCGCACTAACCTTTGCAATCTACCGTGTCAAATTATAGTGCCCATCTAAAACTTTTGTTCCAAATTTCCTTCATTACCATTTCATAATCCTTTAGTCATCAAAAGCCAAAAGAAAACATCACATCTCCATATATATATAAAATGACTCTAGAAAAGAGGTGCTTGACCATTATCAAAAACTCCCATTCTCTGTTTCTGTAAGGTCAGGCTTTGTGTTTATTGTCAACTTAAACACAAGATTTTATAGAATCTCAAAATAAGGTAGTGTCATAGTATGTTCCACCTTTCTGGCAAGAACTCGAGCTCAGTTAACCATAATTTCAACACATACACGTTAAATTTCGGAATCCTAAATATTTTGAATGCAGTGGGGGTTGATTATTTTTGTATCTTACTGTGGTAATAAAAGAAAACTGAGAAACACATACACAGTGCTAAAAATGGGAGCGTGTAAAGCGTGCGATAAAATTCATTTCGTGCACATTTTACTGTTTACATTACAATCATTACGAGAAGTTTATGCATCCCAATAGGGGAGTTTTATATAGAAAATCCTCAGCCAATAAAATTTTCATCCTCCAATATTTCAACAGCAGTGGGCCGAGCCAAGGGGCTCTCTGAGATCAGTCTGCCAATAACTACTTTATGCTGAACGTTCCATTCATCTGGATAAACTCCGTTTTCAGGTCCCCCAAAACTTTAGTCCTTTCAAATCCTGTATCAAATGGGTATAATAACTCCACGAGCATCATGCCAAGGCTATAAATGTCCACCTTGGCATCAACCTCCCTGTAAGCATACTCCGGAGCTCTCTGTTTGTTCCATCACTAGTCGACACTAAGGTGTTACCATCATCATCCAACTTCTTTGCTGCACCAAAAAGAATAAAATGCAATCTCCAATAAACTAAAAATTAAACTAAACTATGACACTGCATAAAACTCATTTGAGCTTCAATTTATCTAATCCAAAGTCTCCTACTTTCACGTTCCCATCTTCATCCAAAAATATATTTGATCGAGATAGATCTCGATGAATAATGATCATCTCATGAATGTGGGCCAATACTTGCACAATTTGTCGAAAAATCACCAAAGCCTGCTCCCTACTCTAGTGGCTACTGAAATCATCGAGAAACGAGCTCAAACACCTATATCAAAAACATAACTTAAAATTGTTAATTGATCACTATTACTGTCATAAAAATCAAAGTTGACATACACATCATAAGTAATGAATTTTAAATGCATACCCTGCGAGCTCAAACACCTATATCAAAAACATAACTTAAAATTGTTAATTGATCACTATTACTGTCATAAAAATCAAAGTTGACATACACATCATAAGTAATGAATTTTAAATGCATACCCTGGACAATATTCCATCACTATATAGAGGCAAGGTGATTATATCTCGTCTGACTCCCACAAGTCATTAGAGCATCCAGACACAACGGGCTCAATCCAAGACTAAAAAGAATGAAAACTACTAGAAATTAAAATGCATAAAATATTTTTCAAGCTGCAACATTGACACAATATGTATGCATTCAAGCACAAGCCTGGTAATAACGCACAATGTTCGGGTGGCTCATTGATGAAATTGCTTTCACCTCTCTGACGAATGGCCATAAAAAGACTAGAATTGTTAAAAAAGGCTTGAAATCCAAGTAGATAGTATGAACAGAATATTAGCAACTACATGAAACTACTTCATTACCATAGTTTTAAAGAGAACATCATAAAGGTTATTTATCATGGTGTTTTATTTTCAGCATGTAAGTCGTATTCTTTACTATGGTTCTGTGTGGATGTCCCAAATTTATTATAAGAACATTTCAATTTCTTTAAGACCCTTGCCCATCAAACTCTCCTCTCCCTCTACTAGTCCTTTCACTATTGAAATCCCTAGTTTCCTATTCACTCTATAAATTCCAACCACCTTTTCTTTCTAAAATCCCCAATTTCAAATCAAGCTCTGCTCCTTTGATTTCCTCCTTTTCTCCAAATGCATGGAAGCCAGGTGTATAATAATGATATCATTCCGTTGCTCGATAATTACCTACTTTTTATGAGTGGTTGAGAGCAATGGATTTTTTTGTAGATTTTATTATTTATTGCGTTAGATGGTTAGTTGAATTATTTTGTTTACAATTATAGATACTTTATGTGTATCACAGTCTACTGCATTCAATTGTCATCTCGGCTATTAATTCATGGCCGTTGGTTATAATATGTTGAGAATCATAGAACATAGGAGCAGTGCACCACTATTTCATGAATCACATCTTCAATGACTTGCATTCATATTTTCCTCTTTTTCTAGTCTGGGATTTGTCAAAAATAGTTCTTTGAATTGAAAATTTCTTCGATTTGAATTCATTTTTCAATTGTTAGCATCACCAATATGGCAACTCCTTGCTCACTCTGAGGTATGATATTTTCAACAACTTACTCATTCGATTTTTATTTTTATTTTTTATTTTTTTTTACTTTAAATCATGATTCAAAATTTCAGCCTTCTAGTTTTACTTAGCTAATGACTTGTGTTTACATTTCAAAGTGAGATGTCAAGGTGGTAATTTTAAGAAAGACTTATATACCTCATAGTTCTTGGTTGCAAAAGCACTCAAGAACTTGCCCTTCAACTAACAATATAAAAAAGCCATTATTTGATCAAATATAAAAAGGTTAGTAATTGATTACGTAACCAACAGCTAAATGAGCCTTCACTACGAATGACTCCAGGGCAAGGTTAAAAATAAAATCCCCAGTTAAATTAAATAAGATCTCAAATAAAGTGACAATAAGATCCACCAAGCAGGTACTAACATCCATGGCATTGAAAACTTGCGGACAATGGCACAAAGCTATTTATGTTCGCATACTCAAAAATAAATTTAATTATACAGAAAAATTGCTGTAACATAACTTGATGAACAGGGCAGTTAGCATGTGAAATTAACAGAATGTGATGTATTTTAGGGTGGTTTTAAAGAAATGCACTCACAGGAAAAATGCTTACATGGTGGTCAAGCTACTTGGTAATTGTTGGGGATGGTGGTCTCTGATATATTGATTCCTTAGGTTTCATTAGTTTGGCTACTACACTGGAAAATGGTGTCTCATACGAAGCTGATTCCTATGCAACTTCTTGAACTGCCATCTAATACAAACGCATTGAACTCCCATTCTCTGTATTAATTGGCATGGTGATAATGCTCAACGCATTTATTAAAATAGGACAAAAAGGTGACAGGTCTACAGTGAGGTCCTATAGTTTGTGCAGGAATCTATCAAATTAGAGCTATAGATTTTGCTCCATAATGTAAACTTCTCGGTCCAGTTAACATAGAATTCAAATATTCCTATATCAAGTGGATACTTGACACAATATGTATGCATTCAAGCACAAGCCTGGTAATAACGCACAATGTTCGGGTGGCTCATTGATGAAATTGCTTTCACCTCTCTGACGAATGGCCATAAAAAGACTAGAATTGTTAAAAAAGGCTTGAAATCCAAGTAGATAGTATGAACAGAATATTAGCAACTACATGAAACTACTTCATTACCATAGTTTTAAAGAGAACATCATAAAGGTTATTTATCATGGTGTTTTATTTTCAGCATGTAAGTCGTATTCTTTACTATGGTTCTGTGTGGATGTCCCAAATTTATTATAAGAACATTTCAATTTCTTTAAGACCCTTGCCCATCAAACTCTCCTCTCCCTCTACTAGTCCTTTCACTATTGAAATCCCTAGTTTCCTATTCACTCTATAAATTCCAACCACCTTTTCTTTCTAAAATCCCCAATTTCAAATCAAGCTCTGCTCCTTTGATTTCCTCCTTTTCTCCAAATGCATGGAAGCCAGGTGTATAATAATGATATCATTCCATTGCTCGATAATTACCTACTTTTTATGAGTGGTTGAGAGCAATGGATTTTTTGTAGATTTTATTATTTATTGCGTTAGATGGTTAGTTGAATTATTTTGTTTACAATTATAGATACTTTATGTGTATCACAGTCTACTGCATTCAATTGTCATCTCGGCTATTAATTCATGGCCGTTGGTTATAATATGTTGAGAATCATAGAACATAGGAGCAGTGCACCACTATTTCATGAATCACATCTTCAATGACTTGCATTCATATTTTCCTCTTTTTCTAGTCTGGGATTTGTCAAAAATAGTTCTTTGAATTGAAAATTTCTTCGATTTGAATTCATTTTTCAATTGTTAGCATCACCAATATGGCAACTCCTTGCTCACTCTGAGGTATGATATTTTCAACAACTTACTCATTCGATTTTTATTTTTATTTTTTATTTTTTTTTACTTTAAATCATGATTCAAAATTTCAGCCTTCTAGTTTTACTTAGCTAATGACTTGTGTTTACATTTCAAAGTGAGATGTCAAGGTGGTAATTTTAAGAAAGACTTATATACCTCATAGTTCTTGGTTGCAAAAGCACTCAAGAACTTGCCCTTCAACTAACAATATAAAAAAGCCATTATTTGATCAAATATAAAAAGGTTAGTAATTGATTACATAACCAACAGCTAAATGAGCCTTCACTACGAATGACTCCAGGGCAAGGTTAAAAATAAAATCCCCAGTTAAATTAAATAAGATCTCAAATAAAGTGACAATAAGATCCACCAAGCAGGTACTAACATCCATGGCATTGAAAACTTGCGGACAATGGCACAAAGCTATTTATGTTCGCATACTCAAAAATAAATTTAATTATACAGAAAAATTGCTGTAACATAACTTGATGAACAGGGCAGTTAGCATGTGAAATTAACAGAATGTGATGTATTTTAGGGTGGTTTTAAAGAAATGCACTCACAGGAAAAATGCTTACATGGTGGTCAAGCTACTTGGTAATTGTTGGGGATGGTGGTCTCTGATATATTGATTCCTTAGGTTTCATTAGTTTGGCTACTACACTGGAAAATGGTGTCTCATACGAAGCTGATTCCTATGCAACTTCTTGAACTGCCATCTAATACAAACGCATTGAACTCCCATTCTCTGTATTAATTGGCATGGTGATAATGCTCAACGCATTTATTAAAATAGGACAAAAAGGTGACAGGTCTACAGTGAGGTCCTATAGTTTGTGCAGGAATCTATCAAATTAGAGCTATAGATTTTGCTCCATAATGTAAACTTCTCGGTCCAGTTAACATAGAATTCAAATATTCCTATATCAAGTGGATACTTTATTCCAGGTAAACAGTAAACAACGATTAAAATTTTCTTTTCCTCGTTGATTGCACACTATTCTCCGGTCTATATGTTATTAGATGAACAAGGATCAATAGCTGTTAACAACAAGAATTCATGCTCCTTGATTGCACTCAGTTCGCTAAGCCTTTTTAGCTACATAAGAAGGGTGCTGAACCTCTGTTCTAAATTCCAAGGAAATAAAAAATGGCAGGGAGGAAAAGGGCTGAATTGATCACAAATCAGTTTTAAAGTGATATTGGAAGTGTCTTTCTCAATTGTTTACAAGTGTGTGCGCCCTGCCATTTTGGCAAACTTGCACTCTTAGTATCACATTTTACTAAAGTTTTTGAAGTTCATGGATTGGAAATTGTATATTGTACCTCAAGATTTTCTGAAAAGACATATTGGCAGCCTTCAAAGATATTTTTTTTAACTGCATAAACTTTTTTGTCCAACTTATTTTTGCATTCTGCCACAACACCAAAGCCACTGGACCCTGCAAAAAGTATACTCAAGAATCACAAAACTAATCTAGGACTATGAAGAAAAAGAGATTTTTGCACAAAAAAAGCAAAATTTAAATTATTACCTATAAGACGGAGCTCAGTAAAGTTTGTCCGATATCTCGACTCTTCGCCTTTGGGCAGCTTAACTGAAGTCCATATCACTTCCCCACTATTAGGACATAATATGTCGGGCTCAAGGATGAAGACGTCTACACACGAATTCATTATAAAAAATTTCAGTGTTTTATAGAGCGCAGATTACCTATTTAAGAGTTATATTATCAAAAACCATTTAACTTGTATATGTAAACTCAAAGTGAATCCCACTCAAGACCTAGTTCTCTTAATAGATTATCATATATCCATTGCAATAAATTCTAAAATAAAAAATTCTAGCTCAGGAGAGATTCAGAGAGAGCCAGAAGTTCAATCATAATGCTATTTTATTATAGTGTCAACTAACAACACAGAATCACCTAGACAGGTTAGAGTCTTATGAAAAGACCTCCTTGTAAAGCTAATTGTATAGCATTGGAGGCTGTTTCAAAGGTAAGCAGTTTGACTAGATTGATAGCCAAAATCAGCCCTTAAAACAACAAGTACCTTCTATCCTTTTATCATGGATTCATAAGTAAGTTCTCTAGGAAAGTGATTGGCAATAAGTTCAGTAGAAGGTTCTTGGAACATCACTGGTAAAAATTGAAAATAATGTTTGTCTTTTGCAAACAACTTCTATTGTGGAATAGAGTATGACTCAACTATTTTCCAACAGAAATAAAGAGGAGAAAAAGAAAGGGCAATGTTACCTAAAACCTAATAAGTTCACACTCAACAAATTACTCCGTGATGTTATAAGTAAAATTAGAAAATGGACAATCCTGTAATCATTCGTGCAAAGAATTCCACCGGCTCTACATTTTGGACATCCCTCATTTGGGCTCTTTTGTAACCTGATTAATATGTAAATTTAAACTTTGTAATTCTTTTTATTAACAATTTACTTGCGCTGAGATTAGCTACCATTATTCTCAGGAATCTCCAAGCAAGAAAGGATAGTGCATGCTAACTAGTGGGAAGGACCAGAGATCGAGAGTATCGGAGGGAAACAAAATTGTATTCTTGCAGTTTATTCTAATATCATTGCTTTTTCTTTACGAAAAGAAGTTCGCGAGCTGTGGGCCTTCTACCACCATGTGGCAGTGCTTTGTTCAACATGCAAGGAGATAAACAAGGCAATACAAACTATCAATTGTAAAGTAATGTGACTTTGAGATATGTAAAATCAGCAAAATAATATGCTGATATTCTTGTGCCACTCACTAATAGCTCACAAATGCATTATAAATTCGCTCTCTTGAAACGATTTTGGAAGGTTCATAGAAAACCAGCAGCAGAGGTTTCATAGGCATCCTAAAACAATAAAAAAAAATCTGATTGTTCAATTGATGGAGAAACAAGACTTGGATTGGGCTAAAACTCATAGATAATTTGTTCATAATCCACATGAATTGGAGTTTTAAACCACTGGTATGTTACGGGTTATGTTTGGAGTCATCAGTCTTTGAAAGGTGGACATTGAAAGTTGAAAGTATTCCCTTCAAGCTAGATGACTATTTTTTTAGGTTGGGCAGGTGAGGCCTAGCATAAACCGGAGCACAAGTATGGGCATTGTCCTCTCAAAAGATATCTCAGAATTGCAGTGTGGCTGAATCCTAAATGAACTAATGATTGGGATTTACAGAAGACCAAAGATATTTGCTAGTTTTCTGATAATTTCAAAAGGAGTCAAACTGTTTGCAAAATTCCATTAGGTTTATGAGCGCATCTTTCAGAGCGCTTTTGATTGAATCTAGAGGCTTGTGGCACTCTTCACCCTGCCAAACTCCAAATCTATGATTAGATGCACGATGGCTGGTGGAAGAGGATAGAAAGCTCCGACTAGAGTTGCTGGTAGAAGTGACTGAGGCGTTCAGAGGTGGTCCAACCTAAGTGCAATGGTGAGGGGATTGGGATCCACTTGTAAGCTAGTGAATGGACTGGGATGTGACTGTCTAAAATAGGTGAGTGGCTGGAATGCACATCTCCCCTATTAAAAATGAAGATATTTTTCAAGTTTTAAGGTCTGACGACATGCTTCCACTAAAGAATCGCGAGTGTAGTGAGACTTCAAACTTAACACCGGGCTTATATCAGGCTTCCACTGATGAATCTAATGACCGTGACGTAAGGATCTTCATGAATATAACTGAACATCAATGTCTAAAAATTGAGTCATGTACTGAAATATAGTGGAAGAACCCTATAATTGGTTGGGGAAGTGAACTAACAAATAAGTCTTAATTTTGTTTTATTTACTTCAATGATAGGACCTGAAATGGGCACATTGGGGGGTCATGCATGCCATACCAATCAAATTACTTTACCAGCGCATCAAGGCAATTGAGATACACCGGGGGAGATAGATGCAAGAGGTGTGTTTGGCGGCGTTTGGGTGTTTTTGCGGCGGCAATTTGGTGGCTTTTACTGTTGTGATTATGGTTGCGGTTGCAGTTTGGTGGCGTTCGCGGTTGCGGATTACCGCGTTTGGTGGCTGTGCGGTAATTGTTGTTGTTTGCGGTTGTGGTTTGGTAGTGTTTTCCGGTGGTTCCCAGGTGTTTGGTGGCAGTGTTGTTTACAGCGGCGATCGGGGTGGTGGCTGGCTGCAGAAGGCGACGATCGGCGATCTAGAGTTCGGGACTAAAATGATTTGGGCTGGTGTGCGGGCCGAAAATTGGGTTAGGGTTTACTCTGGTGTCTCCATTTCGTCTTTTGTTTGGCTAAGATGAGATATGGATTAGGTTTTGGGTCCTAAAGGTTGAATTTTCGGAAAAAATTCATTTATAAAACTGAGAAAAAAAGGTTTACATTTCAAAATTCAGATATTGTTAAAATTTATTTTTGAAATAATTGATTAAAAAAATATTTTATTAATTAAACATATTAATGTCACAAATTTATTAAATCTGGTTACAGCTTATCAAATTAATTGATTACAAATTATTTTCAAGTCACAAATCGAAAATTCTATAGGTCACAAATTATTTGTCGATCACATGCCTTAGGATTCATAGGTCACAATTCATTGATCGTTCACAAAATCAAATTTTTTATTGGTCACAACTCATTTGCTGGTTACAAATCAAAAATTTCGCAGGTCACAATTCATTGATCAGTCACAAAATCAAAATTTTAATTGGTCACAACTTATTTGTCAATCACTAATCAAAACTTTCATAAGTCACAAAATCAAAATTTTTACTGATCACAAATTATCAAAATAATTTGTCACAATTAATTTTATACTCACGAATTATTTTTCGATCACAATTTAAAAATTTTATAGGTCATGATTTGTTCATTGGTTACAAATCAAAAATTTATCTGTGACCACTACCACGCCATGACTTCAGCAGCAACATCGCCAGAACCACTGTCTCCACCTCTCGACAGCAACATCCCTGAACCAACACTACCTTATCCCGACACCATCGTCAACAGCAACACCACAATATCAAACAAATTAACCATCACAGATACCACCACCACACCATCACACCCTAGTGCAAGGCTACGCCGTAAGCGAAGATGAAGGAGAGCTAGCCACGCTAACTCACCACCACCACTACCCGCACCATCCCCACCTGCACCACCTAGTTTGTGACCACACCGCCAATGCCAACATTGTTTGTCACACCGCTATATCCACCACCTCCATCACCAAATCCACCAATAAAAATCACCTCAAAATTCCAACACCGAAACATGAAAACCCATCACCATACAACACAACACCAACCCGCACTGCACACCCACCACACCACTGCACCACGCATCCGAACAACACCGCATTGTCATCAACACGCTACTGCAGTCGGCACTGCTATGAGCATCGTTTACAACGGCAATCAGATTGGCCGCTATGAGAGCTATCTCCAATGCTCACAGCGACACTCAAAAGTCAAATTGACACCCATAATTTTGCAGCAGCGCGGTAGAGAGAAAATGGAGAGAATTTGAGCATCAGCACCGTTGAGATAGAGAGAATTTGATAGCCCTTATTCGCTGTATCTGAGCGTCGACACCTCTGAAGATTTCACAGCAGCAGCTGTGACAATCGGTGCCGGTGTCGATGGAAAGAAGGAGACGTTTGAGATATATAAGGCAGAAAGAGAGTGGAGATAAAGAATGAATTAGGGCTTCGAATGGGATGGTGGATTAATTAGTTTTTATGGAGTAATTAATTAAAATAAGTCTCTGATTTTTGAAATAATAAACTTAGTATATGATTAATGAAATCGAATCTTTAAATCTCTTAGTTTACGTAATTTCCTCTTGAATTTTTTTTTATTTTTGGGCTTTAGTTGACACGACCCGTCCTGAATCACCCTAGTGGACCCGAAACATGAAGTACGCTGATGATAGATGCTGACTAGATGTCAAATCCATCACCAAGGTTGACTATGAGTTATTTCAAAAAAAATGCAATAAAATCAAATGTTTATAAAAACATAATGCGATTGGTCCAAAATTTACTTTGTGATTTATCAAATTGACTCATATAATTCAATATGTCCTGTGGCTCTAACTTTGAAATCACTAGGCTTCTCAAGCTATCAAGGACCAATATTACCTAGATGAATAATTTTACAAAAATATGAGTTGATAGCTCAGTGAGTGGAATAGTTCAAAATAATCATACTTTCTCCTTTAAACATTTTTATCAAACATCAAGTTCATATCATTTAATATTTCATATGATAGCCTCATACAATTATAAACAAAAAATGAGACATTCTTATAACACTGTAAATATCATCTCTTAATCACGATATAGTCATCAGCTGATATCTATTCCATCATCTCATCACATCACATGTGATCCACCAAAAATGTACCCTCTTACTAAAATCTGTAATCCGCCCCTCGAGTTAGGCACTTTTGCCACGGGCCTTTGGCCCCCTCCGTGAACGAAAGTCGATCTCAAAGACCTCTAATAATCAATTCTAGAATACGGCCAAGGCCTATCTGTGAACTATATGTACACAGTCGAGACCAATATCCGGTCAAGACTTTCCGTGGAGGATAGAACACGGCCAAGGCCCCTCTATGAACTAGAAGAAGTACATAATCACGGATACTTTTCTGATCGATCTTAATACCACGTTTCACATACCAAGCAAATCTCAATATCACATGTCTCATATACCAAGTCACAAATGTACAATAAATAATCCTTGAAATTTCACATGTATCATAATAAAAGAGATTTCCATAATAATCATATAATCAAACACATAATTGCACATATTTCGATAATATACTTAATTTATAAATACTTAAAAATATTTATATTTTTCCTCTCACAAATCTATGGATAGATATTTGATTAAATTGAAGAACATTTCCAAGCTTCCACGTTGCCACCTGAAATAATGGTATAATTTCTCGAATTAAAATCTAACAATTAAATTAATATAAATCCACCACTTAACTTCTCAACTTTTATACTTACTCTTACATCTCCAATTCTCCAACTTTTTTTCTCTTTAATGATTTATCAACTAGTCACCATACATTATCAAATCCATTACACAACTCACGCTTCCTTAAAATCACTACTTTAATACATATACAACCCCTATACATAGTTAGTCCAATACATAGGCTTCAATATTTATCATATAAATTCATTAAAACCTTTAAAAATCTGGAAATCCAAGGTTTGACAAAAACAGCACTAAAATCCCAAAATATAAAAATCGGGCACCAATTTCTGTATATTGAAATTTGGCATCAAATCCCTTTACAGAAATAGCACTTTTCTCGGCAGAATTTCAGAACTAACACCTGTCCATGAATTTTGCACGAAAATTGCTTATAAATACCAAAATCTAACCTTAACTTCATATCTCACTATAATAAACTAAAAATAAGGTGTTTTATATCATATTCACGCAATAAATCAAAGATTCAAGCTCTGAATTACAAACCCATTTCACATTTTTGCACACTTCAACACAAATCTTCCTATATATATATATATATATAATCATTAATTTTAGCTAAATTTCCAATTTTGAGTAATTTTCAATGAACCCTAAAAATTCAATTACATAATTTTTACTTACCTCTTGAAAATAAGGAGAAGTAAAGAATGGAAATTGAAAAGCCAACACCTATTCCTCCTCTTCCTCATTCTTCTTCATTTTTTTTATTCATTTCTCTCTCGGTCTCTTAGTCTCTCTCTCTCGATCCTTCTATCCGTTTCCAAAAAGAGAAATGGGATGAAAAATGGAGGAAATAGTGGCCAACAGCCGGTTGACCCGGCCAGTTTTCCAAAGAGGCCTTTGACCAATTAAAAAAAAAAAAAAAAAGCAAAATGTTTAAAATATTGAAAATCAAGAGAAATCCAAATTTACCCTTACTATTTAAAGAAGAAAGAGAAGAGAGTAAGGAAATAGAAAAATTACTGTAGCACTGATAAAAAAGGAAAAATAGACGACCCATATTTAAAGTTTTTATGTTGATTTTTAGAAAAAAAAAAACATGATTTTATATACATGTGTTGATTTTTGGAAAAATGCATGATTTTTGGGTAAGGATAATAGTTTGGGAGGAAGAAAATGGAGTAGAGATCATCGAAAATGGAGTTTTCCGGCGATCTCCACAAAGGAGACGTAAGCCCAGCCGACTGGACCGTTTAGGCATGCCCAGACGACCCAGACTCACCCAGACGGCCCAGTCGACTGGGCGCCCAGACGGCCCAGTCGACCGGGCGCCCAGACGACCCAGACGGCCCAGTCGACTGGGCGCCCAGACGGCCCAGTCGACCGGGCGCCCAGACGACCCAGACGGCCCAGTCGACTGGGCGCCCAGACGGCCCAGTCGACCGGGCGCCCAGACGACCCAGACGGCCCAGTCGACTGGGCGCCCAGACGGCCCAGTCGACCGGGCGCCCAGACGACCCAGACGGCCCAGTCGACTGGGCGCCCAGACGGCCCAGTCGACCGGGCGCCCAGACGACCCAGACGGCCCAGTCGACTGGGCCGTCTGGGTGAGTCTGGGTCGTCTGGGCATGCCTAAACGGTCCAGTCGGCTTTAGGCCCAGTCGGCTGGGCTTACGTCTCCTTTGTGGAGATCGCCGGAAAACTCCATTTTCGACGATCTCTACTCCATTTTCTTCCTCCCAAACTATTATCCTTACCCAAAAATCATGCATTTTTCCAAAAATCAACACATGTATATAAAATCATGTTTTTTTTTCCCAAAAATCAACATAAAAACTTTAAATATGGGTCGTCTATTTTTCCTTTTTTATCAGTGCTACAGTAATTTTTCTATTTCCTTACTCTCTTCTCTTTCTTCTTTAAATAGTAAGGGTAAATTTGGATTTCTCTTGATTTTCAATATTTTAAACATTTTGCTTTTTTTTTTTT